ATAGGACAGGTCGGCCAGAAGGTACTACTGTCCGTTGAGCAGCCTTTTTTCAACTTTGAGGGAAGAATATGGTTCCGATTTTAGCACGACATCCCGGTTCACGTTGATGCGTGTTTGGGTGGATTTATTCTACCGTTCATCGACGATCATCACCCGTTCGATTTTCGTGTTCCAGGAGTGTGTTCAATTTCTGCTGACACTCATAAGGTGAGGAACTTCCTAACGGCAATTTGGTGATGCTCGTAGGATAAGAAGTTCGGTTCAGTACGGTCTGTCGCCGAAAGGCTTCATCCGTGGTGCTCTACAAGAACAAGGAGTACCTGCACAATCAATACTTTTGCGATGCCGACTGGCAAGGAGGAATCTACGCGTCGTCTACTTTAGAAGGTGGGGATTTTTATGACTCCGAGTCTATGGCTCTATGGCTCCTGGTAGGGAGCTTATGGCTCCTCTAGGGCTTCAGAGATAATCACTCCTCCTTTGCTTGAACACGTCGTGGCTGATCGCTAACCTCTGTCCTATTTATTTTACCTTTTGCTCAGAATAAACGGGATTCTTGGAGGATGAGCTCTTGCACTGCTAAGGACGGTGTCAGACTTCGCATATCGACTGAATTGCTAGATAATAGCAAGGGACGAGCGATGTGCTAGCAGTTCGAACGGTGCGCCAGCGGTTTGAATTATGCACCAGCGGTCCTATCGATGTACCAGCGATTTGACCGTGTTGAAAGTAGGTGGAGTGCCTCCATCTTCACTCTCGCCACTTTGCAGGGCTGTTGAAGACATGAGAGTGTGAGAGATGAGAGCCCTGGAAGGTGCGAGAATGCGAGCTTCCGCCACTTTCAAACGCTGTCGAGTAGCTGGTACATCGTTCGGACGTAAGCAAACCAGCCCTTTTGGCGCTTCGGCTGGGACCGTATGCTGAATGTTGGGGAGGGGATGGAGTCCCCGACGGTGGACGGACCACTTCAACTCGGTCCTTAGAACCGCCACAATTTGGTGCTTACCTCAGAACTAAGCCTTAAAGAGAGGACGGGTCCGTCCCCTCTCCAAGGCTTAGTCCTGGGGTGAGCAAACCAGCCCTTCTGGCGGAGCTGCTGGACCAGCTGCACCACTTGCGTCAGTACTCTCCTATCGTACCAACCGAGTTGAAGTAAACCGTCGACCGTTGGGGACCCCATCCCCTCCCCAACATTCAGCATACGGTCCCAGCCGAAACGCCAAAAGGGCTGGTTTGCTTACCTCCATCGTTCGCATCGCTGGTGCATAGTTCAAAACGCTGGTGCATCGCTCGTACGCCGCAATTCGCCAAATTCGCAAAGTATGTCACCGGTCTAATTCGGTGTGCCGCATGTGTTCGACATCAAAAGGAGCCTTCTGGAAATGATGACCCGATCTGATTTAACATGTGAATTACTTTCGCGTTTTATAGGTAGCCGATCTGGACTCAATATTGCTCTGTGCTGGGCCTCCTTATTATATCAAGGATTCGACAAATACAAGCAACACTCACGAGCCGTAGTAGCCACTACGAAGAAGATTCGGGACGGGTTCGTCACATAAGTTCCTGCACTCTTAAGCTGCGTAATGGGTCAGTAGTAGTAAAAAGGGCCAAAATAAGAAATTCAGACGTGAACAGCTTTTCTGTTCATTTTTAACTATTACTTGGTTACTTTGCTGAGGAAATCTGTCGATTACTCCCTTCCTCTTCTAGCACTGATTGTAGCGTTGAACCTCGAAATGAGAACTAATTCAGCGCAGACACCTTTAGAAGGTGGGCAGCAACATCCTCTCGGCTTGAGTGAGGCATCAACTGGTTCCAGTTGCCTGAGAAGCAATTCAAGCTGACTCCAGGGATGTCCCCTATTTGTTCGAGTCGCACAAAAAGTTTCTTCAACGGCATCAAGTTGCTAACTCCGGAGTTGGTCTACCATTTTCCTGGGCCAATTTCACATCATCACAACTCTCTAAAGAAAGTTGATATTTTTCTGGATTCTGTATTGAAGCCTCTAATGCACCAGAATACCTTCTACGAACACAACGCGGACTCCTTGTAGATCCGCTTTCAATATCGCAAATACAACCGCCACCGAGAATTTTCCGCAGACTATTGATATTCAATTATTCTAAGCAGGGTCAAGCGTGCGTTGAGGAATCCTCGACATGTCACAGAGGGGGGGGGGTCGTATTGGCCCGCTGGGGAGAGATCGGGCCCGATTGATACAGTAGGATCATCGTCGGAGGACAAACATTAAGGATCGAATCGATACCAGGCCAGAGTATTTCCAATAACAATTGATTCCGTCCACACAAAATCTTCGTGATTTAGAGGTGTCCGCTTAGCAATTCTTAGTTACTTCAGTGTTTTATCACCACACAAGTTAAAGAATCCGAAATTCGCACGTTTTCCAGGGATATTTTATCTTTCAAGTAGGTCCTCAAATCCAACGAGATGTGAAGCACACGGCGCATCCCAGAGTGGGCCCAGTTGGTTGCGCGCGCTTCAGCTACGGCTATCTTGATAACGAATCTTAATTCAGGAAGAATCAAGAGGGTTCTGAAAGAGTTCATGTTAAATTACAGAGAGGAGTACACTATTCAACAAGAAACGCAGCCTTCAGCGTCAAATTCACAAGCATGTAACCTTTAAAGTTGAGACCCGCTAAACAATTTTACACTTTTTGCAGAGAGAAAAGCACGAGGATTTTGAATCTGCTCCTCCTTACTTTCACTTTGCTCCTTATCACGAATTTTCCTCGTTAATTTTGCAAAAATCCTCAACGTGGCCATTTTTTGAGTACTGGACGTATGAAGCTGCTTTAGCGACCGTTTGATAGAGAAAATCTTCTAGTTTTGTATGACGTATCAACTTTTTGAATTTGACGGAAATGAAGCAAGTTATTGCTCCGGAAAGTGTAAAAACTCGTGCTCGTCTCGAATTTTCCTCGTTATTTGATCTAAATTTGTTATTTCTTATAACTTCCTGTAATTTCAGTACTGATTAGAAAAAGCTCTTCACAAAACTCCCAAATCAGCTTTCAGATTGAAAATTCGTTAACTTTGAAGAAAGTTATAATCATTTGAATATTTGTTCAAATTTCAATAGTAAATAAGCTGCTCCACGGTCAACGCCAAAGTCCAGTCAACACACAGCTGGCGAAGGCTTTTACAAGGCTTCCTTTGAGCGAAAGGGGGACGTGTAAATTGAGAACCATAATCTGTGTAGTACTAGAATTTGGTAAGTCTTGTGGAGGAAATAAATAAAGAAGAGATGTTGTCATAGTATGCCATTTTTAGTGACTAGTTTGTCGTTTTTTGCTCCGTTTCTCGTTTGCTCGTTTGGTAGGACTCATCAATAATGATCATTCTTTGACTTTTTCACTTTTGTACTTCTTAAACGAATTTTTTTGTGGACGGTGGGGTAGCAGGGCTTTTTTATGAGCAGTTTTGGTGGAGAATTAAACAACCTTTTCATAGTTCGGCTTTTGAAGAGGGTTGTTTCATGGACTTCGGCCTCTGGCAGAGGGAGGGGGGGGTCGTATTTCCGAATTTTCCTCGACGCCTCGCTTGACCCTGGTTCCAAGGGTCGTGTTGACAGCGTGCTTTCCTTATTTCTATATGTGAAGGAAGAAACGACTAATCATTCCATATCAATCAATCCCTTTTTGGGATGCGCCACGCATTCCACTTCCACTCAGAGTTGTAGTGGACCTGAATGCGATTTGGCCCATGTAATAGGGCCCTGGCACGGGGGCCAAACGATGTACAAGTCAGTGTATTATTCCTTCAATGCAAATCTCGCACTCATGGACCTTAAGGAATGAGGCACGATCAAGATTTGGTCCCCGAACCGTGTGCTGGGTAAGCAGCCACTTGCCACCACCACCTCCATCCTTGTTGAATGAGCACAGATATAGGATTTAAAGAGAACTGAGGCCTTTTATGCTTTGAAAATGAGTAGCTCTACTTTGAAATGATAAGCTTGGTATTGTGCTAGTCCATGTAGGAGTTTAGTCATGAAATCTTCCTCAGCTGGTCAGCTAAGGGAATAATTCGGTCTTCTTCCAGAATCACCTCAATTCCGGAGCTACGTCTTCAGGGTTCTTCTGATGTGTGCATTGTTAGCTTGGACGAGCGACGTCATTGATATTCATCGCCTCTACGATCTCATCGGTAGGAAAGGTTGGCAACTGACGAACTTGCAATTTCCATCAGGGTAAGCTGTTTATTTTTCCATTATTACTTCACAATAATAACTCTAATTTGACAGTTCCTGGCGGCTCTCGGAACAGATTTTTTTAGCAGCTTCATTACTCCCTGCCATCCAGAATATTTTTACTATATTAAACTTATTTCCAGCAAGAAATCGCTTTTCTTCAGGATCCATATTATGGTCACTCTTAACCACACTGGTGACGGTGTTGCCGACGCACTTTTGTCCGATATACGAGCTTCTGTGAATGAGATCAAAGCCAATCCGAACAGCGAGTTGGAAGAGGCGGTGAGAAGAATTTATACCTGTAGGGTGTATGAAAAGCAGAGGCCTACAATAAGCATTTGCCCCGAATTCGCTTGGTCCTCAAGAGCGAATCAGACCTTTACCATACTGAAATAGCAACTTATTACAGGCAGCCTTGTACGGTATGGCGCAGAAGATTCCGGACCGTTCAATCGTGCAGGAGTTCGCTTACACCTATCTGGACGCCTGCTACTCGGCGCCGAATTCGAATTCTCAATGATGCTCAGAGCACCATTGTAGCTATTTTAAAAGACTGTGATAAATCCAAAGGCCACTCACTTCTACAAAATAATCACCGATAATTACATAACTGCTCTCGAGTTTATTCTGCTGTTCACGAAAGAAAAGTGTCGAATATTGATATTTTAAGGTCGAGAAAAAACCATGTTATAAAAAGAATTGACTGGTTGACTGCGAATAATACATGAATTTAAATAATTCATAAAGGTTCTTTGAATTAAGTTATTTGCAGGCAGAAGAGTATAATGAAATCATTTATCCTTTGAGACGCGTGGAAATACTCAACTACCGAACTTCTAAGTGCTCTTGCAGCAATATGCAAATATCTCGGCATCATGGCACTTATAGTCTTTGGGGCAGAAGTTGTCCTTGCACGACTTTCCAAATCGAACTTCTTTCCAAGAATCCACAGGTACCGAGTAGGGCTCTTTTCCGTTCTTGCATTTTGGATTATAAGCCGCATGGAACCGATCTGAAAAGAATTCGCTGGCATTTCTTTTGACGTCGTTTTGAAACAATCGTTTCATTCAAATGATGCGGAAAATGGTATGTATGAGCTTGGCTTTCAAGCACTTTAAAAAAAAAGCACCCTTCCGTCTCTCGCCGTCTGAAAAATAAGGTCTTCACTGTAAGTACTGAAAGCTCAAAGAGCTAGCAATAGGGCACCGTTTTGAAAGTGAATCGAAACTGTGCACTAGAATGGATCGAAGAGGTGAATTATACGAGCCAGACCTTCGTATCTGCAGGCGATTAAAAATGAAAACAGCTTGAGAAATACTGGAAGCCCCAGCACCATGGTTTTAAAGCCCAGAAAACGACTTTAAGCACTTATATAATATTTCATAGGCACTAAGATCCTTGCTCTGATTCAAAGCGCTAGAGTTCTCAATATACAGAATGGGGAGCAATAAAAAAGACATTCACCCCTACCATATCTCAAGGGATTTAGCACACTTTGGTAAATTCAGACCGAATACTCCTAACTTGTAATTGAAGAGTACTTCCCACTTCATACAAAAGACTTCGGAATTGTCCTGTCCCGATGTCTCATGTTGATCTAAATGTGTAAACAACGTGAGACTAATTTATTGGGAAAGACTCTGAAACTTTCACGAAAAGAAATTGCAAAAATGTGAGTGCAAAAGTTTTGCAAAAGCTTAGGCCTTTTTGGCGAGCTTTCGGCGCTTAGCGCCTTTGTCGAGCCTGAAATGAAATGAGTCAGTATAAGCTTTTGGAAGTCTGTTAATATATTAAAATATACTATATATAAGCGGCTA